TGTATCTACATTATTCCCTCTTTTTGCTTTGTAGTTTACTTCATCATACACTGATATCTCTGATTCCCTATTTTCAGTCTTGGAGGTTTGTTTTGGAGTCCTGGTGTGGTGCCACAGGATAATGCACTGTACTCCCAAGTCCATTTGAACTGCAAGGTCACTCCTTGGAAACCTTATACAGAGTCATTGTGAGTCAGAACCGACTTGACAGCAGTTAACAGCAACAACAGGTTTGGTTTAACTTTAAATGCTTCTAGAGCTCTGGTAGCGTAGTGATTACAAATTGGGCTGCTAACCTCAAGGTCAGCAGTTTAAAACTACCAGCTGTTCCATGGGAGGAAAATGAGACTTTCTGCTCCTGTAAAGATTTACAGCCTCGGAAACCCTGTAAAGGGTCCCTGTGAGTCGGAACCAACTCCACAGCACATACCCATCATCACCACCATAACCAGATTAAGTTCTGGGTGTTGTTGTCATGTATGGTAATCATAGGTTAATTTTTGCTGTTGTTGGTGTTCAGTCCAATGAACACACTTTAACATTTTTTGCAAAGTTGGTCTGGTCATTACAAATTCTTTTCATTTCTGTTTATCAACAAATGGCCTAATTTCGCTGTCGTATTTGCTGGGTGTATGATTCTTGGTTGGCAATCTTTTTCTTTCAGAGTTTTGTATATGCCATTCTCTTGTCTTCTTGCCTGTTTGATTTCTGCTGAGAAATCTGAGCTTATTATTATCATTTTTTAAAACGTTTTATTGCGAATTGAGGGAAGCTTTACAGAGCAGATCATTGATTTTGCGTTGAATAAATCATATACTTTGCTCTATTACATGTTTGCAGTCCCTTCCATGTACCAACAGTTAACAGCATTTACCTCTATTCACTTAACTATTACATTCCTCCTGCTACCTTCAACTTTCTTTTGCTAACTGCCCTCTTGTTGTATATTGTCTGCCATGCCACCCATGTTAACATGTGTCTACCTTCTAGCCCATTAGTACTTTTCCTTCCTCTTCACTCCCCCTTTCCCTCATAGCCATCATAGATTTTTTTTTTTTTTTTTGCTTGTTTGAACAAGTATATAATTTGCAGTTTCAAAGTAACAATGACACACACCCTTCCCATCTCTCATCCCAAACCCTTTGCTGGGATCAAATCTGTATCTTGAGGTGTGAAGTTTTGAATATGCTTCCATAATTCTTCTTTATCTTGCATATCAGGCCTTCTCCCAGGTCATAGTTCACCCAGAGCCATAGCTTACCTAGGGCCGTAGTTCACCCAGGGCAGACATAGCTCACCTAACCAGTCTAGTTGTGAGAATTTTTGTTTCCTTTATGTTGAAGTGTAATTTATATTGAAGGTGTAGTCATTGAACTTCATGAGTAAAGTGCTTCAAGTTCTCTTTGCTTTCAATAAGCAAAGTTGTACCATCTGCATATCACAAGTTGTTCATAAGTTTTCCTCCAATCTTGATGCCATGTTCTTCTTTATATAATCCAGTTTCTTGGATTATTCATTCAGCATACAGATAAATAAGCATGGTACAAGGATACAACCTTGACACACACCTTTCCTGTTTCAACAACTGCTTCTCGGACTATGTCAGATTCTACAAGCGCATAATTAAGTGTTCTGAAATTCCCATTCTTTGAAATGTCATTTCTAATTTTTTATGACCTACATAGTCAAATGCTGTTGGAAATTCAATAAAAGACACAGGCAAACATCTTTCTGGGATTCTCTGATCTCAGCCAAGATCTGTCTTTTATCAATAATGTTATCCCTCATTCCACATCCTCTTCTGAATCCAGCTGAAATTTCTAGTGGTTCCATGTTGACATACTACTGCAACAATTTTTGCATTGTCTTCAACATAATTTTATTGAATGTGGTATTAATGATATTGTTTAATAATTCTGCATTCCATTGGATCACTTTTCATTGAAATGGACACGTGTATGGATCTCTTCCAGCTGATTGCCAGGTAGTGATCTTTCAAATTTCCAGCAGTGCATCCAGTAGGAATTTCTGTCAATTCCTGGAGCCTTGCTTCTCACTAGTGCCTTTAGTACAGATTAGGTTTCTTCCTTCAGTACTTCCAAAGGAATGATCCTTGATGTGGAGATTCTTTCCCTCTCAATTGGTATTTTGAGCTACTACATCTGTAAGTATAGGTTAAGTTAATCAAATTGTAGTAATTTACACTCCTTTCCTTTATAAAAAAAATTGCTTTTTAAATCTTCTTCTAGTCGAGTTGTGGTCATCAAGCCATCAAGGCTAGGTCAAATGGGAACTATCTACAAGTTTGGGCATTCTTGTGCATCTCCCCTCATTTCATAGCAGCTGGATGCTTCACTCTCAGCTCTAGCCTTCCATGGTTATGTTCTTGTGCATGGGCCCAGGAGTCTCCAGGTCTCACCATACTTTGGACCAACCAGCCTGTCTTCCTCTCTCTCTCATCTCCAGGTCGACAGGAGTTTATGGAACGTGGTCGAACTCGGCCCATGTCTTCATTGCTGCCTTTCCTCCACCCACCAGTAGACTAATGTGGTCACCAGCAAGCTTACATGCCTTTGAGTTTCAGTCTTGGAGGGGGTTTTATGCTGAAGGGACTTGATTGCTTGCCTTGATGGCTCCCCAGTGAACAAACAACTTGCTTGTTCTTGTAGTAGCCAATCAGACTACCATTTTTGTTTTTTATTTTCCTGCTAATCTTTCTTTCAAGAAGTGTCCTCTGTCCCTCTAGCTGCTCCAGGCTGGTCTGCTTACAAAGCTCTTTAGCTTTGTTGCCTAGAGGCACCCCATTCTGCCAGCAAGCCTCCTGCCTGAAGTTGCTTAGCACTCTCACTCTGTACTTGGGTTGGTGAGGATAGCCAAGTGTCCACAGGCACCCTGCTATAATTGAGAGGCTCTATGGGCCAGGAGGAGTCCTGGTGTGGCGCTGTGGGTTAATGTGTCAGACTGCAAAGCCATTTGAACTGCAAGGTTGGTGGTTCAAGCTCACAAATTGCTTCTTGGAAACCCTATACAGGGTTGCTATGGGTCGGAACTTGATGGAACTTGATGTTCCATCAAGTCTCAACTTGATGGAACTTTACTTTATGGGCCAGGAATTTTACCACAATATTTCATGCAGGTCTAGGTACACTAATTCTCTCAATAACTTCCTTCCTCTTTTTATAAGAACCAGGAATTTCACCACACCATTTCATTTCAAGCAGATGAGACTTTCTGCTGCCATTTTTCTGTCACTGCTTCTCACTATCTGATGCCATCTCCAGTGTTAAAATTCTATCTCCTGGATCTAGAAGGTTCTCAGTGCAGGGACCACTAAACCCAATGGATGAGCTTCACTCCTGTCTCAGTCATCCCACAGATTCCCCCATTTCCAACTCTGGGATGACTGATTTTAATCCTCGGAGAATGGCAAAATTGACCAATCCCCTTGTTAGAATCCAATATGTCTTATTTTCATGGTCCCAACTACACAAGGGTGCCATGCACCCTATTTGCATTATTAGCAAGCTGTCCAATTCCCTTGGTGAGCCACAAGCATCTTATGTGCACAGTCCCAACCTCTGGTAGCATAGTGGTTACAAATTAGGCTGCTAGCAGTTCGAAACTACCAGCTGTTCCTCAGGAGAAAGATGAGGTTCTCTGTTCACATAAAGATTTACAGACTCGGAAACCCTGTACAGGGTCCCTATGAATAGGAACCAACTCCACGGCACACCACCACCACCACCACCACCAACCAATCATTTCTGGTGAGAGTGCTGACATGGCACTGTAGGATAAATACTAGGCAGCTAATCACAAGGTTGACAGTTCAAGACCACCAACTGCTCCTTGGAAACCCTATACAGGGCCAGTATGACTCAACAGCACCTAACAACAACCATATATTATCTAGGAAGGCCATTTAGAAGCCATCCATCACACCACAAGTTACCTCCTGAAATGGTGCAGTACCTACTCTAAAATCTCAATGTTTCTTTGCTATCACAGTATTTGGGTAAAGTTGGAGTGTTTTTAGTTTCTCAGTAGTTTTGTTGTTGGTTTATGCTTTCTTTTGGCCCAGTCTAACAAATCACGAGAGAAATGATGCTAAGGCTACTGTGGATTACTATCCCTACTGTTGTTGCTGTTAGGTACTGTCAAGTCCATTTTTAACTCCTAGTCATCCCATGTGACAGAGTAGAATTGCTTTATTATTATTATTTTTTTTTTGTTACTGTAGAAGATCACCAGGTCACCTGCAGAATCACTGCATAGGTTTGAACTACCTTTTGCTAGCTCTGAGTAGTTAATAATTGTGCCACAGCTTTCCTTATATTTAAAACATTACCTAATTAAATACAGAAACAAATAAAAAAGTTCTGAGACTCCCTTAGTTGCCAGTGTGTGAAGTTTCATCAACTCTCTATGGTGTATCAGTGCCACCTCCATTCAAGACAATGGTTTCAAGGGAAATGTGTACATCTGTGAACAGAGATGAAAGAGTAGAGGACTTTCTTGTTTCTAAGTCCCAGAAGTGGCAGGGTTTATGAGGTGGCAGAGACCCCAGGGAGCTAATAAATTCATAGATTTATTAAGTTGAAAATAGATCTTCTTCTAATACTGGCAAAGGCAAGCCTAGATTAGCTCAGGCTGGCAGTGATGTAAAACGGAAATTTCAAACACACTGTTACTCGTTAGAATATAAGAAGTGGTTTTATTGCTATGAATAATACAAGGCAACAAAACTTGGAAAAGTCCCAAGATTAAAAATCTGGAGGCCTGGACCCTTCTTTGCCCTCTTTATTATTCCGTCCTTCAAAACAGACATCCAAAGTAAAAAAAAATGATCTTTCTTTGTCCCAGCTATGGTCGGGTATCCTAGGTACGCTAATTCTCCCAATAACTTCCTTCCTCTTTTTATAAGAACCAGGGGAATAAAAAAAAGAAAAGAAAAGGCAGAAGAGACCATAAAAGCAAGCAAGAGAAAAGTGATAGGAAATTTAAACAATCTTATCTAAGTGCACAGGTACCAACTGATAGGGGGGGTCTGTCTTCTGAGGGGGATCGCAGGCAACAATGAAGAACTTGTAAAGGTTAGCATCTTTGTAGCGGCAGGCAGGATATCTTCCTGTTGTGAGGATGCACTGAGTCACATTAACAGGCTTTGGGCTCTGGTGACAGTTGTTCCTGCCATTCTTGCAGATGATGTTGGGCAAGACACAGGCAGCAGCCACATTCTTGAAGGAGTCATGCAGAAAGGTGTTTTCAGGCTTACAGTGCCGAGTGTAATTGTTAACGCCACTCATTGCCTTATTGCACTGGAGGAGACTTGGCTGTATATGCTGGATTTCAAACCAATGAGCCTTCGTCAAATTCCTAGGCAAAGCCCAAAGTGGATGCACTGGGCCCCATAGTCCCAGCAGCAGTAGGAGGAGAGGAGAGCATCCCAGAAGATCTAGTATCATCTTTTCTATGCAGAAACAGGGGAAATAATATTAATAGTACAAGTAATAAGATCAAAATTATTAATTGTAAACATATAGATTTTATTGTATATTTTTAATTTTCATAACCTAAAAAAAAAAAAAATCTTCTTTCTCATTTCAGTCTCTTCTCTCTTTTATTCACTTATTCAGTGGTCCATAAACTAAAATCTTCCCTTTTCACCTCCTGAGGTGTTCACATTCAAGCTACTCGACCGTGACCTCCCACCCTTACTGCCTTCTGTCCGCAGCCCAGAGACCTCTCTTACCAGATGCCCGTGTTAGGTACCTGCTGAGAATTGAGGCAGATGTTAGTCCCAGGCTCCTAAACGTTCTCGGCTTTTCTTCTGGGACCTGTCAGAACTGACCATGAGGGGCACAGGAAGAAGTGTTCTGAGCCTTAAGAAAGAAACTCAGGGCTTAACATAAGAAGAACATAAGAGGAACTTCTTATGCAGAGAATGGACAAGAGTTTTCGACTTTCAAAACTTCTTTCTTAAGTGGTATCAATATTAGTATACACCAGAAGACTAAGTACATGTAAAGAAGTCATGTGACCCGGAACTTACAATTTTGAGGAACTGATGACTTCCTGATATTGCCTAAGTACCTCCTTTGTAATGTAAGATTTCAGTTCTTTTTTTAAGAGCCACACTTATAGTTCCCTAAGAGAAACTATAGCATATGCATCTTATATAATAGCTGCTACAGAGTCCTGGTGTGGTGCTGTGGGTAAATGCACCAGACCACAAAGCCATTTGAACTGCAAGGTCGGTGGTTCAAGCTCACCAGCTGCTCCTTGGAAACCCTATGCAAGGTCACTATGGGTTGGTATCAACTCTACGGCACTTAACAACAAAACAACAACCAGCTTGGTAATGTGAGCACAACAATAGACTTGAATGAGTTATTTTATGTTTACTGGGCAGGCACCACCTTACTCAGGAGCTCAAGATATAATAAAAGAGATAAGTAAATAGATAATCACAATATATATTAGTAAATATAGATAGAGCAGACAGTTGTGAAATAGGAAATCAAAGGTGAGGAAATAGTGGAGAGAAAGAATTGTTGGAGGACACATCACTGAGTTCTGAGGAATTGTTAGAAGCTAGCTAGGTGAAGCGGGTGGTAAGCACATTTCAAAAAGAAGGGACTGTTTATGAAAAGACCAAGAAACATGAAGGAGAAAGACGAATTTAGGTATAGGACTTTTGAATTTGTTCCTAAGTTTCCATTAATGCTGTTAATCCTTATATTTAGAACCTTAATGTTTCATGAGGGCTCACATAAAAGCCTCCTATGTGGAGTCCCTGAATCTAGCTTTTTTACTTCTAATCCATTTTGCATATTACTTCAAGGTTAGTCTTCCTTGAAGGAGCTCTGGTAGCATAGTGGTTACAAGTTGGGCTGCTAACCTCAGGGTCAGCAGTTTGAAACTACCTGCTGTTCCATGGGAGAAAGATGAGGCTTTCTCTCCCCATAAAGATTTATAGCCTTGTGAAACAGAAGTGTCTGGGGTCACCAGAAGTTAAAAGAGACAAAAAAAAAAAAAGAATCTTCTGATACAACCTCCAAAGAAAGCATTTTCCTGTAGATACCTGGATTTCAGGTATCTAGCCTCCAGAACTGGACTCCTGGTATGGTGCTGTAGGATCAGTGCTGGACTTCCAAACACAAGGTTGACAGTTCAAACTCACCAGATGGAAATCCTATACAGGGTCACTATGATTTGGAACTGACTTGATGGCACCACACAACAACAACAGCCTCCAGAACTATTAGAGAATAAATCTCTGTTGTTTTTCAACCACCCAGTTTGTGATATTTTGCTATGGCAACAAGAAGAAACTAATACATGCACTCAACAAACAGAATTCTTGCAAATTCTACCAGAGCTTTTTCTTCTCCCAGTTACTTCCTCTTTCTCTAACAAAATGAACAATTCTAAGCCCCATTCTTGAGAAGTGCTTCATTTTAAAGTACTCCCAACCTATATTGTTTCTCTCCCAAGTGAAAATGGGTATTGTCACATGGGAGGAAGACAGATACCATGTGATGATGGAGGTAGATGTGTCTAGAAGCAGCAAAAGCACACCAAGGATTGCCAACAGCCACCAGAAACTGGGAGAAAAATGTGGAATGATCCTTTTGAAGACCCCAAAAAGGAATTGATAACACTGAGACCCAGATTTGGACTTTTAGCCTCCAGACTGTAAGGAAATAAATTTCTGTTCTTAAAAGTAAAAAAAAAAAAAAAGTTATTATCAGATGAATTCATTTGTGCTACTTCTACTTAATCCCACACATAGAGCCCCCTGCCCCCTCACCCCCGCACACACACAGAAGAAATATAATGTCACAAACCATCAAATGCTCTTGCCCCCTTGGAGACATTTTAATGAAACAATTCAGTAGCGAGCTCTGCCTGTGTACAGTTGATACAGGAAGAGCTCTCTTTGATTCTGGGACTTTATAGCCTCCTCAGAAATATCAGCCTACTGCTTTTCATATTAGAAATCCCTACCTTCCAAAGCGGGAGAAAGATGAGGCGTTCTGCTCCCGTAAAGATTTACAGCCTCGGAAACCCTGTGCAGGGTCGCTATGAGTCGGAACCGACTCCACGGCACTCAACAACAACAACAACAACAACAAAGTAGCAGATGCAATATATGCAAATATATAATTTCAAAATAAAAGTTATAGGAGATATCAAATTATAATA